AAACCCAAAACAAACTATTTGATTTTTGAGAAATAGACATAACTAAGACACCAGAAATCAAAAAATGGCATGAAAGGTTGAACTAAAAACAGGACCCTCCAAAAAGAGAGCATGAAATTATATCCTCACTTCTGACCTAACCCATCAGGAGAGGACGTCCTGAGCATGCTCTATAGCCGGCCTCACCCACCGTGCTACATGCACGCTTTGTGACACCCACGACACTATTTTTGACGGGAGTTACTCAAGTGTGGGTAGCTCTTAAAAATAACCGTAATTAGTAACGCTATGCGATAAAAACTAAAACAAAATCATGACTAAAAAACAAAGTTAACAAAGATTTATATATGTAAATAATACAATGCAATGTATAGATAATATACAGCTCAAAGACAAGCAGCAAGGAACTTGACAACCCAATCACACTCCAACTACGGAATGGCAAACCCACCTGACATGCGGCCTACAATCACTGCACTCAATGAATTTAAGGTACGACTTGGCATCGCAGCAAAGGAAATCTATTGCAACAGAACAATGGCCATCTCGATGTTCAAGTATACGTACAAATCCAAGTCACCAGGCACTTCATCCAAAGTCAAACTACATACCACATCCGAACAAGATTGAGAATAGTAATGTAGAGTAGCAATGTTCCTATTCTCTAAAATCAACCAGATCAACACTCATCACAATCGATCAGAACCCATAATACGATCTCCATAAACTACCGCGATAACATCTCTTCTTCCAAACCAGAAAAAAAGAATATGCTCGCAACCTCTAAAGAAAAACACCATCATCCTTCCTATACTACAATAAGAACATTGAAAAACTAAAACTCTCTAAGCCCCGGATGGGTGGAACCAGAACTAATCTTATGCACGATTGAGTGTAAGTCTACCGATGCCATCAAACTTCGTCCATGCAAAAAAGAGACACAATTTATGACTAGTTATATCAAAATATTGCAAGGATTTCCAAGAATTTAAAAAAATTGAGTCATGTTTTGCATCGTGGCCCATGTTTCAGGTGGCCCCACAATGGCTATATCAAGAAACTGGTCCGGAAAGACGGCTGTTTCATGTTTTTCAACAAAAGCAGAGAGTGCATTGACAAAGAAGTCCACAAGGTCAAATTCTACAAGTACTAAGAAAGGCACACTTCAAGTGACCATTTGTTTTCAAGATTGTAGGGCAAAGACTATCTCTCTCTCTATCGCTCTTTGAACTAATTGCAGTTCAATTAGTGTATCTTAATTTAATTCGGCTATATTTACTATCTTTTCAAATTGTGGCAGTATGTATGCATGGCTTTGCGAGTTTTTCAAAATAACAGAATGGTTTAAATATACATTAAAACCGTTCTGGAACCAGATCTAAACTAGTATTTATCATTGGTTATTATTATGATATTTTATCTCTATAAAATTTTAAATACTAACCAATCAAACTCCATCAAACTAACAACCCACTTATTTGTAAGTGTTGAAACTACTTGTAGTTTCAACACCAGAGCAATTTGAATTAAACTTAGAATACAGTTGTTCTCATTCTGGAACTAACTCGCATAAGCCAGTATACTCTAGATCTATTGAGCCTAGCAGAGACTAGTTAAACACCCTGAGACTAGTAGATATAAGAGTAATTTTAGGATCGGTATTAGACTAAGAAGTTGCACGAATCTATCCGGCCGAAATTGAGATAGCGTGACGAGCAGACGGTGTACCTTACCTGAAATTACTCTATGTGTATAGTATTGAATACATAACTCAGTTGTGCTGTTGATAATTTTGACTCTTCAGTAGTGTGATCTTGTATGCAATTGCTAGAGATTCAACCGAGATTAGCTAGTGATTTTTGCTGATGCCATTTTTACATAAAACGTTCTTTAACTTCCAGTTATTATCAAGTTATATAGGCAAAAAAGATACCCAACTTTTTTTACTTGATTATTTTTCGGAAAACCTGTGTCGGCTACTTGTAATTTTTCAAAATATGGAATGGATTTCGTTTGACTTTTTCCAAATTTCCGAAAATTGAGAAATCTCGTATCGAAAGCGTAAAATAGCCAGAAATAACAAGTAAACTAGATCCATGTGATTTCGAATTCAGCAACTTTGATAGATAAAAATAGGTTTTTGTTCCGACTTTCGATACAAAAGTAACGGAATATTTGTGCTCGGGGTGGGTTTTTTTTTCTTCAGACAACTTTCGAATTTTTAACTAGCTATTTTTGACGGAATTATTTTATATCATTCAAACGTTATTGTCCTTAGCTTAAATCTGAAAAGATATTTAACCTGTGATCATTTTTTGTTAAGTTATGGGGGTTTAAAGATTGGCATTTTGGCCAACTTGGGACAATTAACGCGCGATATATTTCGTGCTATTAACGCGTAAGCGGAGATTTAATCCGTCCTAGAAATCGTTCCAAATTGGTTAATGGAAGCTTATTTGCCATAATTGATTTGTTACTAGAAACAAAATTTATAACTTTGTACTTTATATGGCGTGTGGGGGGATGATTTTCTCACATTTTTCAAACAATTTTTTTAGGTTTTGTTTTCTTTTTTTTATATATTTATATTTTCATGTTTTTACTGCTTCATAGACATTAAAAAGCAGTCGGAAAATTCAGGGCTTTTCCCTGATACGAGCAGTCTTGTTGTTTTTGTTCCCGATTTTGAAGAAAGTGAGGAAAATATATGCTGGGGGTAGTTTTTTATTCGGACCGACTTGCAAAAAGTTGACTGCATATGACCTTCAATTCAAATGGAAGCCGTTGTTGAACCAAATGAGGAGGTACAACTAGACTTCGCCGGGCCCTCCGGGACGAATAAAAACAAAGACGTGTACGTTTTGGTTGCGATAGATAAATGGTCAAAGTTCCCAACTGCACAAACTAATATCAAATACAACGGCAGATGTAGCAATAAAATTTATGCAAAAAAAAACATATCAAACAACGGGGTACCCAGAAAGTTAAGGTCCGGTCAAGCACAATTATTTAGAGAAAAAAAATTTTGGATTCTTTGCAAATATAACAACTAAAACTTCTTTTCGCCCCGGTAGATGACCACAAATCCAGAAGGGTTGTGATGCGCCTAGTTCTCCTCTTATAAATTAGCATCGGATGTCGCAAAATCATAATAATAATAGGAATAACACCACACAAAACTACTAAAATTTCTTCATTTGAGGCCTATATGTGACGCACACCTAAAACACCATTATCAAACATAGCAAAAATTAGTTCAACAAAAAATTTAAGCTGAGATAACGCAAAACACACCTGTTTAGATCGGAAAAACTGAATCGACCTCCTTTGACGTCAGAAATCAAGCTCGACCTCCAAGGTTGGTCTGAGAGTGAAGTCATGATAAAACGACGGCCCATGGAGAATCTCCCGACAAAAGCGACCCTAAAGGACGGAGAATCCTCCACAAAAACACAAAGTATTACTGTTTTAAGAACCGAACATTCTCTATATAAAGAAAAGGAGGCCTTTAATTTAAGATAGATAATAATACAAAAACATGTGGACAAAAATTTTAAGGAACGCATAAAACAAAATAGCTAGAATAACGATCCGATTCGCAACAAAAGTACAAAACAATATACGGTAAAATATTAACATACACTCCGTACACGGCTTGGGTACAAACTCGGGGAAAACAACGGTTGCGCTTTTGTACCAAACCCAAAAATTCATGGACCCTGTAGTCCTTCACGACTTAGTGATTATGTTGCATACAAAATGGCTAGCATACAAAGAACGAGCTCATTCATGCTTGCGTTTTTTAGAACTTGAGCAGCCAAACGCGCCACAATACGAAATTATTCTATAGGAAGAGAAAAGCAGTAGCAAACCCGAAAAAATACGGAGGCAGCAGAAAAAAAAGGCAAAAACACAAACTGGAAAGTGGACGGTCGGAAAGTCAAGCCCCAGACAAGCAAGGGGAATGACATTCATAGAAACAGATAGGAAAGATACGAAGAAACCGGATCCTTCAGGTGAAGGGCGGTCCTCTACAGCTTCCGAAAACATAGCACCCTCTTCCAAACGACTAGATGTAAAGAAAACACCTCCTCAGCCCGCAAATACACAGCCGACGATAGAGTCCACAAGAACGCGACGAGCAACACTAACCACTGCGCTGGGAAACCACGGAATTTTTCTATAGCGTCTCTAAATCGAACATCAAGAGCCTGATCCATGAAATCGGATTTCAGAAGGATTCAGCGGAATTTTGAGGTGCATGAAATTCCTCGAAACGATTAAACCAAAAACAAAGGACAACGACAACATCAGCGTCAAAGACCTGGTATCCCCATTAGAGAGCCCAAGAAACGCGAAACAGCCAACTAATAAGGACAACGAAGACACAGGTCAAGAGGAGGCAAACATAACGGAAGAAAACAAGAAAATCTTTGAAGAGGAGGAGGCTAAAACAGCATCAACACAAGAAAAAGGACAACTCAACACAACCAAAACAGTCGGATCAGAGGGAAAAAGTATAAGAGAGAAACAACAAGTCACACGCGGACTATAAAACTCATGTCCCACAGGGCTCATAAAACTCGATTATAGTCCTACAGGGACGTAAAAACTCAACAATTTTAAAGAGAGGGGAATGTCATCCGACCGGATTGACGTAGATTAATATGTTGTATTTATACGTATATACTTATTATTCGGAGGCCAAACAGATGGCCTTGATCGTTATGGACAAAATGTATCAGTGAGCCTAACCGGTCAGTTGTCTTGAATTAAGTATTGTTCAGTTATCTTTCCTAGACATAACCAAGTATTCAGTTATATAGCCAATCCGTTCGGATTCTAGAACAGGTCATGCACAACCATATGACAGCTGTTTTTAGGATGCAAACACATTTGCAGAAATGTATGTTTCACTTATATAAACGATTTCAATCCTAGCCTTGTGAATCATGGGTTTTAATCATGTTGATCTCGAGTATAGTTTCAAATAGACTCACACTGTCAGCAGCAGGCACTTTGTTGATTCCAGACCCCAGCAGAACAATTAGAGTGCTGATGGCGACTGTCGTAGAGATGGCAGCGACTCCGAACAATCTCTTCTGCTTGGCCAGTATCACAAACAAGGGAGATATGATGTAGAACTGGATGTCATTGGACACGTACCAACTCCAGCCTAAAATTGTAGACGAGTAACCTCAGCTTTATTTCTAATTTCGTGAGCTTTCAGATTTAAATTGATTTAGCTATCTGTTTTTGAGTTTTGCAAAAACGGAACTAGAACAAAGTTTTGTTAACTTTATCCCTGTTCTTTGGAACACTTACCAAGGCAGGCAATGTTAGGGTTGGCAATCAAGTTGTTGTAGAAAAACGCGGTCGAGATCCAGTTTGATCCCTTGCACGAGGCTGCAAGAGAGGTGTTGGGGTCATTGTTCTGGAAGAAAGGACTGTAAAACAGGGGGGCCAGATTAGCGTAGATCCCAGCAACGAAGAGAATCGTCAGCAGAAGAGTTGGCCACAGTCGAATCAGGCGATGCACGTAAAACATAAACCAGAAAAATCCCTGTGGCTTATTCGAACTCTTCAGCTTATCCAGGGACCTCAAGGCTCCTAGCATGACCAGACATGCACCCATAACGAAAAAAGTATCGACAGATGAGAACCCGTTTGCGATTGTCTGGAACAACATGTTCTTGCTCCTGCCGATGACGTAGGCGATATTATCGACAGCTGCGAGCCAGAGAAGCAACAGGTGAGCGATGATGACCCATCCCAAACTCATAACTCGCATCCCGTTCAACACCGCCAGCTGGTCCGGGTTGGGTACCTTCGGCGTTTCTAAAAGAGATCAATCGGTTTCATGGAAACTTTTTCGCCAGACATTAATCAAATACATGACTCAGCAAAAAGGATCGCATGCTTCTGATGATCCTGCTTTCTTGTTTTTTTTGCTGAAATTTTTGTCTCAGAAAAAAATTTGAGTAAATTTTGAAAAAATTTGTCAATCATTCTGAATTTTGAGCTCTATCGAACCCCAGGAAGTCAAAAATCTTCCAAGTGTCGCAAAAGATAGCTCTAAGTCTACCCAATATTTTGCAGAAATTGGCGTAGAAATCGAAGCACATGAGGATTCTGATTGCGAGAGGTTCTCTCGGCTGCTGTTGTTTTTTCGGGGCTTCGTCGCCAGCCTCCTCTTGAACAGTGAGTGGTGCCAAGTCGGATGTCGCTCGGTATTCTTCCTGCAGCTTCTCGTATTTTGCTGAAAACATTCCCTAAAACTGTTCTTGCCATAGTGCGTCAAATGAATTATTTTGAATGGCTCAAAAGACACAAAACTCTTCAGTGCTTGATGTCCCTTAAAAGTAATAAAACTAGCTGAATACTGTTATTTCAAAATTAACATGTAGTCTTTTAACTTAATTGTTTTGCATATTTTGAGTGTAACCTTTGGCTCTCAAGTAGGTTCCTCTAAGTGTTGCGCAGAACACTGCTGATAGAATTAGGCTGTAGACCACTACTGCAATTACGAAACCAGCATCTGCGTTGAATTTATTCCTAGCCAGGATATACCTCTCGCCGTCTCCAAAAATAGAAGACACCTCTTCGGCCGAGCACGAAGACGGATTACACATTCCCAGATTGAACCCATTGAAATTCACGATGAAATTTTCAGTGTCTGGAAAGGGTCTAACCGTTAAGCCAGTGAGTCCAGTCTTTGCATTGTAACATTCCTCCGATTGTCCTGGGAAAAGCCTGTTACCTTCAAGGATTCCAGTTCCAGGCACTGGATAGGAATCCCAGAACTTGAAAACTTCCCCTGGCGAGTAGCTGAGAATGACCTGCCAATCATCGTAACACTGGCTGGCGTTATTAAGCTCTCGGATGTTTTCAAACACTTCCGGGTACGACTGCAAAAAGAGAGACAAGTCATGCAGATGTTCTGGCAATGATCGGTCCGAAAGGTTTTTGGCAGATGCTTCTTGAGCTTTTTCTCTCAATATTCGCACATACTTTTCGAAGCATAAGCTGGGCGAAAAAAGAGCAAGCAGTAATGGTGCGATGCAAATTCGAGAGAACATTTCAAAACAATTTATTATGGGTCGAGTTAAGCCAACTAACGGTAAACAAACACGACCATATAGGAATAAAATGATCGCTTCAACTGTTCAATCAACATTTCAAACACCCGTGGAATATTTTGTCCTAATTACATTCAAATAAGGTCAAAACTCAAGAGCAAAGTTATATTGAAACTGATCTCATTATCAAAATTGAGAAATTCACCTACAAATAATAGAAAGAGTGTAATTAAAATAGATAATGGGGCTATGGCACAATCATTTATACATTTAGTTCAACAATCGATTGTTTGTGAAAACGCAGTTCAATTTTTAGAAACTCAGTGCATTATTTTTTATTGTTCTCTAAGAAAACGGAATAATTGCGGGGTCAGGTGCTCGATTTCTGTCTCGACTTTCTCGACCTAAAACTGGTATGTCTCGACTTTCTCGACCAAATTTTTGTATGTTTCAATTTTCTCGACCCAACAAAAAAGTGTTCGACTTTGTTCGACCAAGTTCAGATATGTTTCGACTTTCTCGACCAAAATTCGATATTTTTCGACTTTGTCGACCGACATTTAAAAAAATTTGTTTGTTCAACCCCGCATAGATATGTTTCGACTTTCTGGATCAAAAATTGATATAGTTCGACTTTCTCTACTTTCTCAACCGACATTTAAAAAAAATTCGTTTCTTCGGTCCGGCATACATATGCTTCGACTTTCTCGACCAAAATTCGATATATTTCGACTTTCTCGACCGACCTTTTTAAAAACTTTGTTTGTTCAACCCCGCATAGATATGCATAGATATGTTTCCACTTTCTGGACCAAAATTCGATATTCAAAGTTCGATATTCATGATTCGACTTTCTCGATTTTGTCGACCGACAATTTATTTCAAAATTGAAACTTTGTTTGTTCGACCCCGTATAGATACGTTTCGACTTCTCGACCAAAAATCAATATGTTTCGACTTTCTCGACTTTCTCAATTGACCTTTTTAAAAATTTTATTTGTTCAACCCCGTATAGATATGTTTCGACCTTCTGGACCAAAAGTCGATTTGATTCATGATCCGACTTTCTCGATTTTATCGACCGACACTTTATTTTGAAAATGAAACTTTGTTTGTTCGACCCCGTATAGATACGTTTCGATTTTCTCGACCAAAATTCAATATAATTCGACTTTATCGACTGACATTTAAAAAAAAATTGTCTATTTAAACCCGCATAGATATGTTTCGACTTTCTGGATCAAAAATTGATATAGTTCGACTTTCTCTACTTTCTCAACCGACATTTAAAAAAAATTCGTTTCTTCGGTCCGGCATACATATGCTTCGACTTTCTCGACCAAAATTCGATATATTTCGACTTTCTCGACCGACCTTTTTAAAAACTTTGTTTGTTCAACCCCGCATAGATATGTTTCGACCTTCTGGACCAAAATTCGATATGATTCATGATTCGATTTTCTCGATTTTGTCGACCGACAGTTTATTTAAAAATTGAAACTTTGTTTGTTCGACCCCGCATAGGTATGTTTCGACTCTCTCGATTAAAATTCGATATGTTCCTTTTTTCTCAACCGGCAACTTTCAAAAATTGAAACTTTGTTTATTCGACCCCACATAGATATGTTTCGACTTTCTCGACCAAAAATTGATTCTACTTTCTAGATGGAAATCTGTCTACTTTCTCGTCCGACAGTTTTTAAACATTTTAAAGTTTGTGTTTTCGATCCTGCATAGATGCTTCGGTCTTTCTGCCGTTAAAATTTCAGCATCAAAATATCCTAGCATTCCTAAACTCACGTTAATCTTTTAGCGAGCGTTTCTTAGCAATCTTTCAATCAGGAAAGTCTAGTGGTGAGCTTGCCCCTTCTGTGACCACGAAAGTCTATGGATGGCTCCCTGAGGGAAAAAGTTTTGGGAATTAATCTTACTTAAAAAAACGCCCCGGGCATATATATTCCTTACGTTCTTCGAAAGTCGGAACAATTACAAATCACAATCAACTCCGATAGTTAAATTGCGATCAGAACGAACAGCTTCAAATCACAAATTTGACTATATAAGGGAGTTGTTTCAGCGTATTTACTCACCCTGACTCCATTAACAGGTTATTTACCATAACCAAAAATAAATTGATTTGAGTATCACATAAATCTCAAAAATGTAGTGATTTTCAAATTAGTGATTTTCAACTTTTGTTCCGACTTGCGAAGAAAACAGAAAATTTATGCTTGAGTGGCTTTTTGTTCAGTCAATTTTTGGAGAAGGAAATAAAAACTTTTAACCAATTTTCTATACGCCATTGAAGATCATATGAAATCAAATGTAAAGAGATATTTTAACTCCGATCATTTTTTGCAAAGTAAAATGGGAGTTTGAAAATCGCCTTTTTGACCATGCTCTTGACTTTTTTATGACGCTTTGAAAAACTTATTCAAAGTGCTGAAAGCATAACACGAATTATTTTTGGTGAATTAACCCGCACAACAAAATCGCTCCAAACTGAATTGACACTAGCTAGCTAAATTGATCGGTCGTATTAATTTCGTAACTTGAATTTTCACACTTGACCTTTGATATTGTTCAAAATCGATAGTTTTTTATTAAAGTTTTTCCGAAATCTTATTCAATATGAATTAAGAGCAGTCGGAACATTCAGGGCCTTGTTTTTTATAGGAGCAGTTTTGTTTCTATAAAAACTTATTGCTCGCCATGGCAAAAAAAAATCAACCCATTGCTGCGCAAAGTAGCACAACACAGTCTAAAAAACGATATCTTTGCCGAAAATAGTTTGAAAAATCTTTGCTTTCCTTTGATTTATCACTCGACCCCAACTGAATTGTTTTGTAAAACATGGACTTGCGCCAAAAAAAATACAGACCCCAATGCAATTTTTTTTCTTCATTTCCGCCCAAAAATGATATTGATATAACTTCCATGCATGGAAAAAATAGCCAATCATACAAATTCTATACTATCCCATAATGCATAAAATAGCATGAAAGGCTAATGACTAGTATTTTTTACTCAGGGAGAGCGCATCTTTAGCATTTTTTCTTACACCAGCAATGAAATTTGCCAGTTTTTCTTATTTTTACTTACAATCTTTCACAGACAGAGACACTGGTTATTCAAAAATTTTCACAATCATGCGTGTAATACGCAGGTAAGCTGCAAAAATGTTTCTGATGTAGTTTTTATGAATTTAAAAAGGTATAATTATTATGCAATCCTAGGGCATGTTGACAAATAACAAACGAAAATGAATTAGAAAAAATGCTGCAACTGCTTTTTAAGGCTTAAAATGTTTTTAAGGTAAAAATGAAAATTTGTCACTGACGATACGCCAATATTTATTCCATGATACAAGAAAGTGTCTTCAAAATTCTTTTACAGCAAATTCATCAAATCTATGAAACTTGTATTACTCACCGTTTTTTCTTAAAGTAAACACGTAAATGTATGAATAGCGTTTTTAGTTTATTGTAAGCCCTGGACTTTGTTTATCAGAACCAAAAATTAGCAAGACTGTTCGTACTTTTTAATGTCTATGAAGCAGTGATCTCTTTAAAAAATTGATGAGTTTTTCGAAAACAAAAGTTAAAAAAAATTGAGTTTATTTTAATCATCACCCCACACGCAATGTGATGCACAAAGTGATAGATTTTGTTCCCAGTAACGTAGAAATTATGAGAAATAGACTGTTTCAACCAATTAAGAACGGTTATAATATTAAAGAAGTCGCGCGTGAATTGTCTCAAACTGGCAATATTGGCAATCTTTAAACCCAATTTCAAATTTCATTAAAAAAGATCACAAGTAACATATCTGTTTAAATTTGAGCTCAAGATTACAATATTTTTGTCTGTTATAAAAAAATTCCGTCAAAAATTTTAGTTAAAAATTTGTCTGGAGAAAAAAAACCACCCCGAGCACAAACATTCCGTTACTTTCGTTGCCAAAGTCGAAACAATAAAAGCATAAAGTCCCATACATTTTCAAAACAATTTTTTAAGCTTAGAATTACAAAAACTGAGTTGTATTAGAGCAACGCTTTGAATGCCCTGACTTCTCGTTATTGTCTATGAGGTACGTTTTGATTGAGACTGATGAAATTTTCAAAAAAAAAGAAGAAATGAGATGTACTTAGAAAGAGTGATTAAAGTAAAGAGTAGGTATGATTGAAGTCTTATCTAGCAAAGTGTCTTTTGGACCAATTAGCTCGCCTCAATTCAATTTGGAACCGTTTTGGATATAGATTAATATACAGCTTACTCGATGTTAGGAAGAAATATATAAAAATTTAGTTGTTTCAAATGGGCGAATTTCAGAACCCAATAACGTTTCAATTTTTAAAAAAATCACAACTAAAATATCAATTATTTATGTGCACAGTATATCAATTTTGTTCAAATGATTTTGCCACTTCACTGTCAAACCGTCCTAGTTGAATATTTTAGCTTGAAAGTTTTCGATTATCAAAATAAAACAAGACTGGTCGTATCAAGGCAAAGCCCGGAATGTTCCGACCGCCTTTTAAAGTCTACCGAACAGCAATGAAATGAAAAATTTAGATACGATAAAATGAAATGAATTTGTTTGAGATATTTTTCTGAACAAAATCCCCACACGTCATATAAAGTACAAAATGATGAGTACGCTCCTACTAACAAATCAGTTATGGCAAATAAGCTTGTTTCAATCAATTTGGATTAATTTATCAGACGGAATAAATCAGCGCTTACGCGTTAATAGCGCGAAATACATTCCGCGTTAAATATCCCAAACTGGCCAAAATGGCTATCTTTAAACCCCCATAATTTTACGAAAAATGATCACAAGTGTAATATCTTTTCAAATATAGGCTCAAGAAGACAATACTTTTTGAATGATATGAAATGTTCCGTCGATAATGGCTAGTTAAAAAATCGAAACTTGTCTGAAGAAAAAAAACCTCCGAGCACAATTATTCAGTTACATTTGTTACGAAAGTCGGAACAAAGATAAATATTTCGTCATTTAACATAGTACGTACATTCCGTTAATTTTGTTGAAAGTCGGAACA